GACCCTGGGGTCGACTCAGCCTCTAACAGAAACGAGTACCAGGAATTAATTAAATAATTTTCCTGGGGAGTAAAGTGCGGCCGGCACGTAAGGCTGACAACCTTACCGCCATCTTTGAGCCGATTGTCTAGATAATGTGGGACCCTCAATATCTCACAACCCTATGGGCCTTCATGGCCTGGTACAAGGATAGCCTTACTTTTTACTTTATTTCCATTTAATCAGCTCCATGGAGCTAATGGTTACTTTATGATTACATCAATATCTTAGACTATATAGTGTCAAATGTTTGGATAATTCATGAGTAATAAACTGGAAAGGCAATGGAAGGAAGCAGTTTTGGCCTAATCGAGGTAATATCCTAGCATCTGCTTGGGAGGCCCGAGGATAACTACGAAAATCATCAGTCAAGATAGCTGTGTCCTGGCCAAGATTCGAACTGAGGCCATCCCAAATATAAGTCTAGAGCATTACTGCTAAACCAGCCTGCTTGGTCAGCAGAGTTCTGGTGGAGCTCAATTAGTTAGCCCAGTTCCTCCATCCTGTAAGGAACATGGAGATTCGTTATCATGTTTACAACAATCCACCATTGGACTCAACCCTGAACCAGATGGATCCAGTCCACATTATCACTCATTATTTCTTTCAAATGTGTCGTATTATTATTTTACCATCTATGCCTAGGTTCCTCTCTAGGATTTCTTACAGCTCTCATTTATGCCATGTTCCTTGTCCATATCATCACCCCAGTAATATATGGCTAAGATTACAGATTATGAAACCCCTTGCCACATAAATTTCTCCAATCTCCTCTTACTTCTGAGCCATTTCCACTTATTATCGGTAATTAACCAACAAAGTCACTCGCTGGAACAGGGTTTTTCCTGAGAAGTTTGTAAGCATTCGGTCCTTCCAATAAATTAATTTCAGTTACTGACCACAGAAATTTGTCACACTGTCTGCAGAAGAATGCCACTACACTATTTCAGTCTAGTTCTGTTTCACATTCCCAAGTGGTATCTAAGATCCAATGCAAAGAAAAGAATGTCAGAACCAAACATTTCCGATGTACGAAATGAGTTTGTGTGAGAAATATTTGGTAGATCTGTCAGTATCCTAAAATTATACATTTGAAAATAAACATCAGAATCAATACAGTACAAGGTGTAATATAATGAGACTACATTTGTAGGAAGCAACTTACAATTGTTGGTGAATTTTTAATTACCCAACTTTAAACTGAACCGTATCCCATCACCCTTAAACAGTAACATTTCAACACCATGGATTATTTTCAACACAATGCACAAACTAGCCAAGCTATCTGTGGCAAAGATCACAAGAGATAATATAAACATACATTTATTAATACTAGTGTAACACCCACTGAGAATTCAGTGGGAAGTCCCATCATTTGTTATATAAGCTTCCATACTAGTAACATCCCCTGATTTTTCTCATATTCCTTTCCAGTCCTACAAGTTACTGAATGATACGTCGGGGCCAACATACATTGCCACTTCCAATGCATAACTGGTGTGCCTATCGGCCAGCCCCTCTGAGTTACAGCCCCCAGTGCTGTGCCTGGCAGCTAACCCCACCTGAGTTCCAGTCCCAAACAGTGTGCCCAACAGCAAACACCCTGAGAGTGCTGTCATTCACTGGTGTGGCTAGCAGTTATTTTGAAAAATAAACAGGATGATGGATAATGTCCAGAAACATAATATTTGTACTAATGTACCATTGTCACAAACTTTTAGATCTTATTAACCCCCTCTAGTTACAATCCCCACTGTTGTGCCAAGTAGCTAACCCCCTCTGAGTGCTGTCAATCATTCCCAACAGTGGACACTCCCTCTCTTTGCACTGCTTGTTACTGATTTTGACAAGGAAGGGTATGTAATATAGGTGCCACGGGGAAGGAGGTGGCCAACTTAAACTTCCACAACTTGTGTTCTTTCTTTTCCGTGACCAGAGTATAGTTGTACTCACTGTCAATTTGAGTGTTATATCACACACGTGCTTTACTACAGTAAGAATGAAATTTTATTATATATTTTCATCAGCATACATGACATTAAACACATACTCAACTACCTCTGCCCACATACAGTTTGCATAAAAGCCCTGAGCACTTAAAAATCCTTTCTGTTGTCACACTGCTGCTGCCTATAGCATACAGGGATATGAAATGGCACATTAGCCACCACACAGAAATTCCACTTGTCAGGTGATTTTATGTTAATAAGAAACAAGGAAAACTGATTATGCTTTTACCCAACCACTTTCTTTGACCACACAGAGGTAATAAACAAAGGCATATTTCATAACCTTCAGCATATTATTCCACATCAGTCAATAACTGCTCAATTGTTACTGCTGAAAATATATTACCAACTTTGTATCAAAACAACACAAAATAAATAAATAAAGGGCATTTTAAAGTTCCAAGCTGTCTTACAGACATTACAGATGAGAGATTTAATGACTAATTTATTTGTTTCCTTATTTATTCTTAGTTTATTTGGAAATGCTTTCAATAATCTAAATTATATAGTGTCAAATGATCAGATGATTAGTGAACAATTAGAAAAGATGTGGAAGGAAGTGATTATGACCTAAATTAAGGTACTATCCTCGAATTTGCCTGAAAGAAGTGATAAAAACTGTGGTTTAATGATAAAGGAGTGCAACAATTCCAAAAGTTGACTTGTACAGGATGCAATGATACCAGACACAGTTCACATTATTTGGGAGGAAAAGGGTAGGAAAATTATGTACATAAATGTAATATGATAGTTATAAAATAATTTTACATGTAAGAGTGAGACAAAAAATGTCAACTATTTAATTAGAAACATGCTAAAAGAAAAATAAATTAAGAATCTAATGATTCAGTAAAGAATAAAACACTCTGAAGAATAGTTAACATGAAACGCTGAAGAATAAATCTGACTTATTTAACGTTTTTCCTATTAGCAAATTGAATATATAGTTGTAAATAAGAGTAAACAGAAAATGTTGACACAAAGTTTAGAACTCTTTCACATTAACCCCTTTTCTCAGCACAGCCATGGTTCCCAAAGCTTGTAAACAGATGATGCAGGGTTATTGGAATTCTCATTATTTTATGGTAAACACATTTTTTTCAGAGTTTCTAAAAGCACCCATGCTTTGTGGTTCTGCTCTCTATGCAAGACATTCTTACCTATATTGTAAATTTCAATTTGGAGTGGAAAATTAACATGTCTTGACATTGTGCATTATGGGGCTCTACTGTTACAAATTACTCAGTATTGGGCTACAAGGGATTAATGATGTAATATTTGTAGGTACAGGCTAGCAGAACAGCAGCATGAATATCACAAAAAAAGAGAGTGATCTGTCCATATTATGCTTCTCATACTTATTTCCCAGATTCATATCTGAGCTAGTTTCTAGGATGATTCAGCAAACAATAAAGTATTTATATCTACATACAGAGCATGCAAATAAAAACACACAACACATAAAATTTAAAGTTCAAACAACAGAAGAAAATAGATCTTAGTCAAAAATAAATATACATGGGGCTCTTCCTCTCAAGGAACTCCATAATATGCATTAGTCTAATAGTTTTTCCATGTTAAGCTCAAGTCTTATTTGTATAACAATCCAGAATTCAGTCAATCATTTATATTCACTCAACAGATTAGCTAGAATGTGAAGTTACCACCTCACCTTACAGTATCACATAATTACTTAAATCTTGGATAATTCACAGTGTAAGATTCTATATATCTGAGATACTCATCTGCACTCTTTATATCCTGGACCATTACAAATCTGGTAAATGTGTAATGATTCAAAGTCATCATCATTAGTGCTGAGAGTAGTGCAATTTGGGCACTACAGAATTACAGTCTCACAAAAAGGAACTTTATGCAGAGTAGAAATATCTGATGTAAATGAAACTTCAAAGCAAGTTGCTACAACACATAAACTTGTCATATTTCACTCTCAGTTTATATTAGAATACCTACACACAGCAAACACCTTGGGCACGAACTAAAACAATAAGCAGATGCAATAAGAGGTACAAATCAGATAATCTGAAATCCATAATTTTTGGTTCCTTGCATTCTGCAACGATGAGGATTTCCTGGAAGATTAGATTTGTTCTTTAAATTGATAGCTGCTAAACAATATTTCATCTAAGCATGGTTACTGCAAGTAATTAAAATGGACATATACCTCACCTGTAACAGCTCCAGTTGTTTTAGTGGTATTCAAATCGAATATGGTTACAGGGAACGGCAAATGACTGGGCTTCACATTAACAAAGACTACATGATGCAATCTCTGTTATATGAGTTTCTAATTCTGGAGTTCTTCAAAAGGAAGACCATTATTCTAAAGTGTCACTTCTAGCCTTCAGTCTCGGAGACAGAATAACTGTTATGACACCTTATTTTAATCATACACATAACATTAACATTTAAGATAATATTAAATATGTAACATTAGAACCGAAATATACCCATGAAATGGGTTGTTTAAGATCTCTCTCTGAGGTTCCCATCTGCCACAATGTGCATGAAAGAAACCGTATCATTACTTTAACTCACAATATATATCACAGTAATTTTTACATTAAGACATATAATACTGTGCATGTTAGACACACATCTTATATTGGCCTTGTGCTGCAAATCGTTGCAATGTGTAATCGTTACTAAAGACTGTTTACGCTTGACACACAAAATCTGCAGGTGTGCACCACACCAAGAAGGCTAATATCTTTGATAAGGCACTTTGTTTACAGCTAACTGCAGGTAAGTTAACCCATTTTTTTTTTTTTTTGTTTTGAAAGTTGTTCAAATGAAACCTGTTCATGTACTGGGTTGCACTATGGTCGGGAAGTGGTTCTTTGCAGAGAAGATCCATCAGCTCACGCATCAGTGGTATCTTTGCCACAGTAACCACAGGGAATATTTTAGTGGTCTCTATTCCTTCACCAAGAACAATCCCTGTAGAGGTTCTATTTGAAAATCCTTCATATTTTACCATATTTCTTCTTATCTTAACAAGCAAGAACCAAGATGTGATGTATAGCAATGTCATTTTTTTATGGATGGAAAAGCTGAGTTGTTGGATTTTCTAATTTTGAAATGGTACTTCTGGAGAGTACAATCTAGGACAGATTGTTCTACTAACATTCATAAGTGGAGGAATGTTAAAAAAAATGCACTCGGGTGCAATATGCTTTACAAAAAACACATTAAATCTCCTTGCAGGCCAGAAATATCTGTAACATTTTCCCCCCAGATTATAATTATTATTATTAATATTATAAATAGACACTAAGACTATTCAATTGCAGGCTACTCAATTGCTTCTTTTATCCGTTTCTTTATCAACACTGGAACCAATGAAAGTGCAGCGAAGAATCCAAGAAGAATAACTGATGTCCAAGACCAGGCATCACTTGAAGCTGACAATTTATATAATGTTTGGCCAGCCTGAATTGCGACAAATGATGGTGGTGCTACACCTATGCAGTATGGAAAGTCAAACATTAAACACGTTAAATATTCATTTCCACATTCTCAATTTTTCAAGGCACGTTTATTAACACTGTGACTACACATTCATCATTTAGGTCTACATTCATGAGAATTATGAAAATGGCCACTTTTCGAAGCTGTTGTACCAGAAAACTGTTGATTCTAAAGGGTTCTGATGATGGTGTATCACACTCACAATTATTGGGTTCTTGGACTTTGTCCATCATCTAGTATTCTAAACAACTTGAGAACACAGCATTTCAGAAACTGGATCTGTTTCTATCCTCAGGTGAGTGGGAGAAACCTACTCTGTTGGGTCCCATAGAAAGAGCTAACCTCAATCACTGGGCAATCTATGTCAGTATAACTACAGCTATATAAATACCCAAAACCAGGCTTTGTCAATGGGAGATGACAAGAAAAATGTTCAATAAAAATTGTGATAATACATGCACAGACCCGAAACTAAGATATAAAAGGGGGTGACAATTTTTTATGCAACAAACCAAGTCCATGAAAACAATGCACAGGATTAATTTGAGAATGTTGTGAAACCTGTTTTGCCTACCACTAGTGCCAAACAGCACAGTAAGTCTACAGCATTCCCGGTGAATGTGGCAGAAACTACATTAGTGAAATAGTCAGACCTCTAGCCATGTGAGTCTGTGAAAATTGGCATCATCTCAAAGAGGGTCTTCTAGAAAAATCAAAATTAGCCGAATACGACCATGAAGACGGTCACAGGTAGGCTGGGATGAAGATAGGATTTTGGAAATTGAAAGTAACAGCAGGTATACAAAATACAAAGAATTGGCCCATGCGACATACTTAAACAACCCGGGCTGGACAATTTCCCACCTGTGTTCCCCTCATTAGTAGTGAGATCAGCAATTCACAGAGAAGATCAGTATGGTCTGACAGATTCTTCATGGGTTTCTATAGCATTTTAGTCCAAGTATACACTTTTTATTTCACAGATGGCATTAGAGGTAAGCAAAAAATGGTTTCACAACATTATCCAATTAATCCTATGCACTGGTTTTCATCTACTTGGTTTGTTGCATATACAAATTGTAACCTCCTTTTCTATCTTCGTTTCAGATCTGTGCATGCTTTATCTAAATTTTTATTGTACATTTTTCTTGTCATCTCACACTGACAAAGGCTGATCTCAGGTATTTACATAGCTGTAGTTATACTAACATAGGCTGTCCAGTGACTGAGGTTAGCTCTTTCTAAGCAACCCAACAGAGTGGGTGTTCCCCCTCACCCGAGGACAGAAGCAGACCCAGTTTCCGAAATGTTGTGTTCTCTAGTCTTCTAGAATACCAGGTGATGGACATAGCCATAAAGTCCAATAATTCTGGGTCAGGTAACTGTTATCCACTCTTTGTATATCAAAGAAACAATCATAAGCCTACATATCATGAATACATGATGCTTGAAGCTACATCTTGTTTTTGGAGGAAGGGCAGTGAAAATTAATAAATCATAAATATAATAATGTCTGAAAAACATAAGAACTGTATTCAATCTCATATATGGAACTGAATTATAACCTATAAGCTGACCACTCATACATCACTGTTTTCTTTACAGAGAATTAAAGATTGTGTTAAATATGACTAAATAATGCCTGTGGTCAGTAAAATGTTTAATGCATGTGCAGTTTGCTTTATGCATATATCAACTTACCGATGAATGTGCCAATCCAGAATGGAAAGAGTGGTACACCAATTATGGGTGATGTAATGTTGATGAACCAGTTTGGTAAGAAAGGCGTCATACGCAGAAATAGCAAGTAACTGATCAAGTTACTTCGATGTTTTTTCACCTATATATAAGATAATACAAATGAAATATATTTTTCTTAGGGTAGCATTTCCCAGACAGCAATCCACCAGCCAGTTATGTACCTCATGGTCTAGAACTGTTATCAATAATTCTGAAAGAAATTTATAAACACTGCACTTTTAGTAAATAATATGTTTTCTTAAACACTAAATAAATGGAACAGAATACTTCTAAAGACATTCCATGAAACAACTTAGGAAATGATTTCAGAGGGAAATAATAAATTAGCTCAACTGTTACCAAAGCTGTCTCATATCCAGGAGGTACCCAATTACAATCCTGGCTGATTTCTGGTTATTCCAACTGATGTTTCTCATTGTTTTACTATCTGAAGAAAATGTCAGCATAATAACTTGAAGTAAGTCATATCTTTACCCATCACTCATATAATCCTGCCAGCATAAAACTATCAAAAAAACAAACTCAAAAGTGAAAAGACTTTCTAAACTAAATTCATATTATGGTCTTCTGGGGTACAGCACCATCTAGCCTGTCGGGTGGGTATCAATTTTTTCAGAGGCACACACTACCTCCATTTTCAATTTTGAAGCAAGTGAAATTGGAGAAGTGGCAGATTATAAACAAAAAGCGAGAAAATGAATAGGTCTTGGAGGACATCAGTACCAACAAGAAACTGGGTTTGGTCACTCCTATGTGTATTGCTCTTTAAACAAAAATACCAATATCACCATACACCAAATTTGAAAGTAACTTATTTTGTGAGACATGACCTTGAATTTTGCCACTAAAAATGCTGTTCTATAACATTTTTAGTTCAAACATGAAAGTAACATTACTTTCAAATTATATTTAAAAATAAATATGAGTCGATAAATTACATTCAATGTAAGCAATACAAAATTGTCACGATTTCTCACAACTACTTTTACATTTAATTACATAAGTAACTGGTATTATTTCTGTTGACAGTATTATTTTTTTGATGTAATACAGTGTGGTGTAGTAGAAGTCCAATGATATTTTGGAAGAATGACTATCAAATTACAATGCATTACATAACCTGGACGATAATGTTCTTCATAGTCACCACTGTGAGAACCTCAAATCAAACATTATATTTATTAGTTTACTTACCGTAAGAGCCCACTGTGAAGCTTTCTCAGGAAAATATCTGTATACAAGATGTCGCCCAAGAAAGTAGGACAACACATAACACAATGAGGCTCCTGTTGCAGAGCAGAAGCACACTAACATAAGTGCTAGTGGAAATGGGAAGAGAAAGCCAGACAGGATCGACAGAGTTATTGAGCCAGGAATGGCAAATGTCTGCAAACTGAACATCACAGTTAAGGGGCTTACAGCAACAATCCTGTGTGACAGGGAGAGGGACAGGAACATTAGAAATGTTGTATTTTAGTGTCCTGTTGCACTGATTCATATTCATAATGTGTATATATTAACAGTCTTCAAGTGCATACAATCCCATCTACGACGTCTACACTACATGTTTCGGCAGTATGCTGCTATCTTCAGGTATATCAATCCGTCAACCATTTCACTGCTTGCCTTTATATGTCCTACAAATAATATTAAATTTGTATATGTCCTTATATAATAATAAAGTTTATGTACTTAAAACTTGTTAAAAGCTATTATCTCATATGTCATATTTTTAAATTCGTGTGTATTATTGATCATCCACATGGGGGTCGTTCTTCTTATGTTCTAATGTTGTGTGTATATTGTGTCTTATGGTGTGTTCTACTCTTGTTGCTGTGTGCGTTGTATCACTGGATGTGTACATTGACACATCTGTAAATGGACATATATAGGCAAACAGTGAAATGGTTGATGGATCGATACACCTGAAGATGGCAGCATACTGCCGAAACATGTAGTGTAGAAGTGGTAGATGGGATTGTATACACTTGAAGACTGTTAATACATACACACATTATGAATAGGGACATTAGAATTTAGACACAAACATCCAATACACTTCATATTATATAAAAAGGAGTGCTAGTTTACTTAATGGCACCACGACAACTATTCAATTTATGTAGCATTGAATGAGAAAAATGAGAGGATGCATTTCACACCTATGATAACTAATATTAATGTGACACATTTGAGGGAGAAGAGGAATGCATATAGCGTTCTGGTGGGAAAGTTAGAATGAAAAAGATAACTAGTAAAATATGTTTTGCCTTACGAGTAGTCAAAAAGAGTATCAGGGTTAGAGACTGTTCGCACCTTATATTATGCTATTTTCAATCCTTGTTATTATATGGATTGATATTTTGGGGAAATTCAGGAAATGCAAAAATTGATCTTTAGGTTTCAAAGGAGAGCTATTAGAGCTATGATACAAATCCCGAAAACTATTAGTTGTAAACAATATTTGAAATCGTTAATATATTACCTTTACCATGTCTGTATATATATGAAATTCTAGTTTACATAAAAACCAATTTGAATGTTTCCATAACCAATTCAGGAATGCACTCGCACAATACAGGGAGAAAAGAGGACTTGGTCATAGTGCCATGTAATACGAGTCTATACAAAAACAATTTCAATAATATTGGACTCTGTATTTTAAATCAGTTGCCACAATATAGCAAAGAGATACCAGTACTATACGAGTTTAAAAAGACTTTGAAAACATTCCTACCTGATCATTGTTTCTATAGTATAGACGAGTTTCTCTTGTTTGGGGACAAATCCTAGTTCTAATCACTTGTAAACACATATTTCAAGAATAATTAACTTGTAAATTTTAATATTAGTACATGTTCTAGGAATGCCTACTGCCCTATTCTGTATTCTTTTCTTACAGGAACGAGATCGAGGATACCAGGGTATTTTGTGCCGGGAGAGAAGGATCAGGTCTAGAGGCATACAGTGGTGTCATGTGTTAAAGGATTATATCAGTTTTATTATTAGAATCATTTTATTATTATTTTTGTATATTATTATACCATTATATTATTGATTACATTATTATTGTTCTTATTTGTTGTATTGTAAAGTATTTGACTTGTCCTATATCATGAATAATGATCCATGATATGAAGTAAATAAATAAATAAATAGATACAGATGTAGGTTGGAGGATACTATTAAGATGAATCTTAGAGAAACAGTCTGGAGTGGTATGGACTAGATTCATTTGGCTCAGATAGGGACCAGTGGAGGGTACTCGTGAACATGGTAATAAACATTTGGGTTCCATAAAATGCTGGGAAATTCTTAACAAGATGAGTGACTGGTGGCTTGTCAGTAAGGACTCAGCTCCACTGAGTGAGTGAGTTAGTTATGTAATGTCAATGTCAGCGTGTAATAAATTACATACATAAAAGCTATGATGGCTATCAGCATCTTCCATAAAGAAAAAGAGTTTACAGTATATACCTTCTCCTCCTGTTACAGCTTTCCTAGTTTCTGGCCATCTAGGAAGGTGAAGAGGTACCACTTCTGAGAAAGAAAGGCATGGAAAAAGTGTTGCTATGTAAAGCAGAATAATGCTGGTCGCCCAAATTAATTACCAGGTACAATTAGAAATATTACCAATATACCTGTATAATAATGAACTGAAACATGCCTGTATATTCTCATCACCAAACAGAGGAGGCAGATTTGCTCATTATAGAAATGAACACTAACTGAAGGTTTCATTTATATGACTGTAGGTTCAAAGAGTTTCATATGTATGTAATTTATTGTGGCATGTATACCCATTGCTACGCAACAACCACGAAATAAGCAACCATACAACAGCTGTTGCTATGTAAAGGCTCTGCAAACAACAACCGGTGCGCACCGCAACAGACGCAAACAACAACTGCACTACAAGAGAGTAGCAAACTTTTCTACACAGTCCAGGCTGAGATGTTATAAACAGAACAAGTTAGGAAATAAAGTGGAGGGAAGAGGGGGTTGGTGAGTTGGTCAGTTAGATAGAGGACTGCTGCGGTTCGGTTGTTGTGAGTTGTTGCTGTTAGAAGCTGGTAGCTGAGGCACGGGGACAGTTCAGAAACATCTACTGTTGAAAGCTGCTACCAAGCAATAGCAGTGAAGATGTGGATACTAGTGTGTAGTCACGCACTGCATCAAAGAGTCCAATACATTAAGCTATCAATCCAAAGTCCATCTATATTCACTAAATCACATGACAATATATTTCTCAAAAGTTTTTTCCTTAATGTAGTTAATTAAAGCCTCCTGTTATTATTTGGTTCTAAGCAACTGTTTGTTTATGCTTTATGAGAACAGCACCAGTTGTTCATAGTAATACATACTAACCATAGGGGCATGCGGCAGCGTAGTTGGTTGAAGCACTACGCTACAAGCCAGAAGGTCATGGGTTCGAGCCCTGATGAGGTGGATTTTTTTTCTTCAATTTACCCAATCCTTCCAGCCATACTATGGTCTTGGGGTCGACTCAGCCTCTAACAGAAATGAGTACTAGGAATCTTCCTCAGGGGTAAAGGGTGGCCGGCACATAAGGCTGACAACCTTACCGCCATCAATGTTTCACAGTCGTATGGGCCTTCATGGCCTGTCACAGGGATAGCTTTTGTACTAATTAAAACTGTATACAACCTTCTGAAGGGCACTAGACAGGGTAAAAATTGGAGTTTGTTATATTTAGTGAGTAGGGCAACAACAAGCTAAAAAGGTTATTCATAGTATAACAATTCTTGTATATTCACGGTATTTTAATTATCTCCGAATCATAAGACAATGTGTCTTTCATTTTTCTCTGCATCTGTTTGAAACATATTTTGTTCCGATAAACAGGGGAGAAGTGGTAAGGGTGTGATGGACAGAGAACTGAGGAGTGTGGGAAAGAAGTCATATCTGTGTGTACTGGGCATGTGGTGGAGGATAAAGCAGCAGATGTAGCAGAGGGAAGTCTGGACAGCAGGGTGAAGGATGAGGAGTGATGAGTGCCGGGCGAGGACAGAACTGGTGTCCTGATAAGGGACGTGTGCATGGACCTATGTGGCCCCCCATAGAACCCCGCAATATAATATATTAGCTGCAAAAAATAATGGTCTTACTTCACTTGTCTTTGGTATACCATACACAAGTAATACACAGTGCGACCTTGATAATCTGGGGGGACAAAGTTGCTCGCATCCGTGACATTCTTTAAGTGNCCATATGTGTGTGTTCTGGGCATGTGGCGGAGGATAAAGCAGCACATGTAGCAGAGGGAAGTCTGGACAGCAGGGTGAAGGGTTAGGAGTGATGAGTGCTGGGCGAGGATAGAACTGGTGTCCTGATAAGGGACGTGTGCATGGACCTATGTGGCCCCCCATAGAACCCCGCAATATAATATATTAGCTGCAAAAAATAATGGTCTTACTTCACTTGTCTTTGGTATACCATACACAAGTAATACACAGTGCGACCTTGATAATCTGGGGGGACAAAGTTGCTCGCATCCGTGACATTCTTTAAGTGCAAAATGAGCAACAAACCTGGCAAAGCTTCCAAAAAGATGCAACAAAGCAAGAACTTGAGTGCTCTCTACTTGGAAGCAAGACGCAAAATGGGTTAAAGGATCCCAAATGCAGCCATTGGAAAGAAACCAACCAACCAACCAACCTTGATAATCTGATTTAATTACAGCAATGATGTGCTTGAACAATCAAACTGTTTGAATTACTGAAATTCAACTAAAAAATTTTAATCATTTTATGAAAATTATGTATTCAAAAGATGTTTCTGTGCATTTTATACATAGACGACTAGAACCCTCAGACATATCAATACACGCAGGGTTCAGGGAAAGTTGTACGAGGTTACATATTTCAACACCTAGAGAGGCAGATCCGTCAATACATAATATCACATTTCACAAGCATTCATTTTTGCTGCAAGCAAGTAATATAATTACATTCAATTTGTACTTTTTGGAGGTGCCAATATTTTTTGTGGTACCATAAGTAAGTTCAGATTACTGAGAGTTCAGAGCAACATGGGTTTGGTTTACTGAGGTTCCATGTGTAAAGAGTGTGAATCAACGAACATGAAAAAGGATACAATATGTATGTCACAATAAGAGTCAACATAACTTCAAAGAAGTATTTGTCTTTGTAGCGGTCCAGGACCCTGCCTAATTGTTTGGCATCTTCAATGTCCCAAGGAATCTTCATGTGTTGCATCTCCTCTCTACAATCAAGAAGAAATGAGTGATTTTATACAGGAAAGCACCTCTCTAGAAATGACTACTGATAGATGAACTCACCTTCCTAACACACAGTAAACATCTGCTAATCCCATTACAGTTAATTCAGATGTTGGATAATTTAGATTAGTATATCAAAAATGTAAAATTCTGTTCACAGTTGGGTACATACTTTAAAAGACATGTGGGATTTAGGAGCAAGAGAGATTAGAATGAGAGGACTTTCAGATGTGTTGAGGGCAGCTGGAGAGACTGAAATCACACAAGAAAATATCCAAGATTGGCTAGAATTGAATGAAGGAGACCCTGGATTTCAGTTTCTAACAGCAGAAGAAATTCCTACAGTGACATTTATTTGTAAGATTCTTTTTTGGGTGGTGAGGGGGGTTTAAGGCCATCTTTTTCTTCATTAATCTGGATGACCTCTCCCCTAATCTGGATTAGTGACAGTTAACTGTTCTTATCATTTTATATTTTTAACACTTACAGTTTTTGAGAAATTTATGGTACTGCAGTGGGATGCTATGGGACAATAAAGTTTCATTTCTGCTATACTTTTGCTCATATCACGACCTTGAATTTGCAGTAATCTTAACTTGTTATGCTACAATACAAATGAAAGTGTCTTAGGAATTGTGGCACCAATGGCAGACAGTGTCTGGACTATGTTACTGTGAGAGTGCTTTAAGAAAGATGATCTGTTACTAACAAGTGGATTTCTCATCCCCTGTGGCAGCACTTAGGCTTGTGCCAGCTCTGATGCTGTATTACATGATGTTAACTGCTCACCTGCATTTAATACATTCAAGCCTTTATATATGAAGCATGCATAAACCGTACAGCCCAGCTACTCTGCAACCACAAGAACAGCTTTTGGTAATTCATCTGTCTGCTGGTGGGGAGGAACTTCCATTGTGTTTAGAACATGGTATAGTTAATGGTTTCCCCACTGGTTTATTGCATCTGTATATAAAATAAAAAGCAAACTGTGTCAAAATGTAATTCCACATTTATGAGTAGTGGGAAGTGGTTATGCATACTGTAAGATTACATTCTGACACAGTTCACTTTTTTCCCCCCATACAGATGCAAGTAACCAGTACAAAGACCATTAACTGTAACATGCTCTAAATACAAAGCAGGTTCTTCACTTTCCCTCATTACAGTTCTGGGTAGTGGGAAGTCATTATGTATACCATAATATTGTGGTGTACAGACCCATTGCCAGGCAACAACTTCAAAATAAGCAACTATACAACAGCTGTTTCCAAGTAATGGATCCACAAACAAGCATGTTTCCATGATAAAATTTGCACTGGAACAGAGTAGAGGTGTTTACTATGTGGTCTGTGCCAAGAGGTTATAAGCAGGAGAAGTTAGGAGCTGAAGGAAGTGAAGCAATTCGTTGGTGAATGAATCAGTTAGTGAGATAACCGTTGGGGTTCAGGTATTGTGAGCTGTTGCTGTGAGAAACTGACAGCTGAGGCCAGGGATAGTTTGGGAACCCACAGGAAGGTGAATGTCTGCCATTAGAAATCACTACCAAGCAATGGCTAGTTAAGAAGGTAATGAACTGAGAAGACCCAGTGTGTCCTACAGTGATTTTTGAAGTGTGCAGAACAGTGACAGCATAAGCCTTACTTGTAGTTATGAATTATTACTGAGTTCTATAAATCAAATTACCAATCCAAACCCTGTCTACAGTCACACTATCATGTGACAACATTACAGTTCCTGGCATCAACGTCTTAATATCAAAACTAGGAATTCAAGGAACGTTTCCTCCGTATTCCTGCATGTCTTGATGATATCTGGTACATACTTCCACTTTATGCAACAAATTTCAGACACTGCATTTGTCATTATTTTGACATAAAATTATTAATTCATGCTCAACTCAATTCTCAAGCACAGTATACAGTACGCAGTCAGTAAACAAACTCAATAAAATTAATACTGTGGTCTAAGTGCTACACAAATTAAACACTAACACTTCAATACTAGGGCATTGCTGTCAGACAGTAACTGTTATTTTCAAATGCACAGCAAAAGGAACACAGAATTAAAGAGTGTCTTGTAGAAGTGCACTGGCGATGGCCCTTCAGTGAGGGTTTTCACACAGTTATATATGAGTAAACAGAACATTGTGGTAATGTGGTGGATAAAATACTTTTGTGAGGTGTATGCAGAAACCAGCCCCAACCCATACAAACTCATAGTATACAAAATTAATTAAAATTTAATGAAATAATTGCTCCTTCATGTAAATAATCTGTAAAATTAATGCAACAAATCTAAGCTTTTTATTTAAACAATATAAAAAAATATGATGGAATAAAAACCAGAATATGCTGGTTTGTTCTTTTTTTTTTAATATATGTGGATAGATGTCACAGTAAAATTATAATTTGAGATACTTCAGGTCTTCATGGCTGTGAAAATTAAGATTTTGGTCCTCTGAGCTTGACACAGTGCTGTTTTGGAGGATCCTGCTCCCTCCATAATAAGAGGCAGCAGTCCCTCTCTGAATTAGTAACAATCTACAAAATAATACAGTGCCATAACACAGAAAACCACAACCTTACATCATCACTTACTTCATCAACCCATTAAACTTACGATTCTAGTTCTGGAAACTTCAAGTAGATGTAAAACAAGGCTATAAATGAGGTGACAAATATGGCACCTACTACAATGAATGCTCTGCGTGTGTTGTCTCCACCATGATCACCCACTTGCCGTGGAGATCTAACTACTCTAACCGCATTATTAAGCCCTGAAAATATAGGAAATATAAGTGGTTAATACCAATTATCATAATTTGTAGGTTGAACAATACAACAGAAACAATACAATTACATGAATCTCAAATTCAGTAAATTTAATCTAAAGATGAGGTACTTCCACAAACTGTAGTTTATATGTTAGAAGTGCCATTTTCATATTTTACAGCCAACATAATGACAATCTCATATAGTGCAGAATTTAACCTGGTATGATACAGCATATTGTGAACCATGTGCAATGGAATGCAGAGGGTGATGAGACACAGGGTTTGTAGGGAAGTTCATAAAATGTGGAAAGAATATAAACATGGAATCAATTTCCAAAATCGCACAATCAACACAATGCTGATGCTTAATTATTACTAGATAATGAAAGGACATACTACCCCAATCTAAGCAAATATTATGAAAGATATTATAGTAAGAACAGTCATAATCTGTTTTACGCTGATTATATATTTTCATAATAAAGGACACCATTACATCCGGTAAGTTGAGGCTGTTACTGGTCCTCAAACGATTCCTATTAGACCTATACCTAAATGGAAACCAAATGCAGATATACATTTATGGCCACCGCATCGTGAAGTCAGAGATGTACCTGAATGGGCTATTCTGGAGAGATTGCAGATGCCAAGAAGCTGCACCAGGAAGGGAGGACAGATGTAGTGAGATGTTGCAGTGTAGAGTCTACAGTGAAACGTTATACCAGTGCTATCACCAAATTCACCAGCATTATCTCAAAGGCTGTGCCATAGCTTAAGCAGTTAGTCGCTGGCTTCCCACCACTGCAGTCTAATCAAGTGGGATTTGTGATGGACAAAGTGGCACTGGGGCAAGTTTTCCCTGAGTATGTCGGTTACCCCTGCCAATCCTCATTCCATCAAATTCTCCATAAGCATTATCACCAGTACAGGTACAATAAAACATATGGAAACTGACATGCCGAGGGGACCTAATATGGATTTCACCTCACACTATATGAAATCTTAACTATTGTAATCTACTGTAATCTAGTGTAAACAATTTTAAGTATTGTAACTTTATTCTCTTATTGTAATCAGCTGATTTACAGTAACTGACTTGTCATATATCATGTAATAATGATCTATAGAGACGAAATAAATAAATACATTCCGGATATATTGCCTTCTTAGTACGTGTACTACTCGGTGCAATCAGCTTTATGTGCTCAATTCAAATATACCATTACTAATCAAATGTAAAACAGCAGTAATCATTCATACAACAATTTATGAAAGTAACTATGTTACCATTGTTTATTGGGTTTAATGAAGAGGGCAAGTAGTTGCTTGGGAGTCTTGAATGAATATTTTCTTGGTTAGGATTCCACAGGACAGGTTCGTATGACAGGCGTAGAGATCTTCGTTGGTGAACATTAAAATAATTTGAATGTCTCATGTATATAGTTGAAGGCACTGTTGAAGTTATTTCTGGTGACTGGATGCTAAATTCACCTTCATTTGTGGCAGCAGACATTATTAAAATTTATTTTAGTATCTAACTTTGCAACAGCCCATTACTTTCACTAAAACAACACAACACGACGACAACTCGTGCTATTCATCAAATGTTTTCAACATGAACAGAAATTATAAGGCAGTACGATCAAATGGCAGTGATTAGGGAGAAAACCAATAAACTTGCGCGACAGAAGTCGTGCTGAGGCGTTCACAATTTAGACGTTCAGCACATGTACAGCAAAACCTTACTAATTCGGATTAAGGGTTCGAATGGGGTAGTCCGAAAGTTGCACTGTTTTCAGTACAGATTAGGTATTTAATACATTTCAATACTCATGTAAGTCGGCAAGACGTAGCAAATTTTATCTCGTTCATGGAAAATCTCCGTTACACGTAGATAAAATTATCATTAGCAAAACAGCCATTTTTTAGCCATAGCCTACCTTGAAATATTTTGCGAGATATGGTTTACATGAGGGTCTGACTAGATGCTCTGATGTGTATTTCAATAGCAAATAATTAATAGATCGAAAACACTTTCAGGAAAGAATGTAGACAGAGGACAGTAACATTTAGTGGTCTACATTTTTTCTCCGAGTACTTCGGTTTCCCCTGTCAATCTTCATTCCACCAATTGCTCCACAATCACCCTCACCTATCATCCGGAGCTGGTACAATAGGCCAGAAGTGCCCGCAGTACAAGGCACTCAGACCCACCGCACAAGCAATAAAAAAAATAATAGTGGTCTGCATACTCATATTTCCACCCTTAACATGTTCCCTTCCAGGCAGTTACTATCAAATAAGCTTACATTCATGGTGGGAATACAGAGCATTTTAAGGTTAGACGTTTAGTAGCAAATAATCTATCACTGTTGACACCAGTCCGCTACTCTCATGTTCAGCGATTATGTTCTTTCGTCACAGTCCCTTAGATCATAACGCATGCACTTGTCGCCCCATAATGAGTAAAGTCGAGAAGTCGAGCCAGGCCCGTAGTTGACACTGTTCATGAGAGTTTTTCCCGCGGAAACGCCGGCCACGCAAATCATGTGATTTCGAGTTTGCATATTGCCCATTACGTTGCTTCCTTGTGGTAGAACCATTCCGGAATGGCGAATGGCTTTTCGTGCCTCTTGAAATAACCTCTATTACGGTGCGGTTCGCAGGAGATGATAGTCTCCTTGTCTTCAATGAAGATGGTTCTAGGTAAGCCTACGCTAGTCTGGTTGGCGCATATTTTGAGATTCATATTAACCTTTTTACAAGGGCCGCGCCATAGCTCAAGCGGTTAGTCGCTGGCTCTCCACCGCGGCGGCCTGGGTTCGATCCCGGGTCTGGTCAAGTGGGATTTGTGGTGGACAAAGTGGCGCTGGGGAAGGTTTTCTCCGAGTAGTTAGGTTTCCCCTGCCAATTTTCATTCCACCAACTGCTCCGCAATCACCCTCACCTATCATCTGGGGCTGGTACAATAGGCCAGAAGTGGCCGCAGTACAAGGGACTTAGTCTCACCCCACTAGCAATTAAAAAACCTTTTTAGAGATGTATCTTTTTACCCTCAGGCTTCTGAATATTGTTTCCTGTTAGGATTTTTCCAGATTAGCTGTATTTCGTAGGTCGCTGAGGCGAGAATTTTGAGACTAAAAAGTGCTATTACTTGTCATTTGATAGCGCTGTTAAGTTCTGGTGGTCACGGATTGCAACCGCAGCTTTGTCCTAGATGTATAGGAATACAGAAAATTATCATATACCAAGTCTGGGAATTCGCTCCAACAAAAATCACTGTCGGGTACGGAAAGTGCTTAATTAAAAAAAGGAACTCTAAAATTAAATCGGCGGCGTTTACCAGCGTTGTCATTCGTACCTACTTCACTGAAAGACTATGCATAAACGAATAACACATACCTTTAAAAGCATATGCATTTACCAGCCTTTTCCAAGAACCTTGCTCTCAAAATCGCGTTAATTTTCCACCCGAGATTATGCTTCGATATTTGATATAATCTCTATATTTCCAACCATATCAGCAACAAAATATTTTTGTCCACATTCCCAAAAGGAAGTAGATTCATATTCGTTAGAACACTCATCGACTGATTTTTCTTATTTGGTTTTGTACAAAGATATATTATAGATCTTCACAGTGACCAATCTCTACAGGACCGAATATTTGCACACACACCCCTCCCCCATACCTGTAATTTAGGAAAGCAAAAAAATTTGTGTTCTTATTTAAATGTTCAAATGTTAAGATTTCATTTTTTTTTCCAAAGAAAGATCCCTCCCCTTTAGCAATTACAGGCGAATTTTGTGTTGACAAAAACGTTTTGGACAAAGGGACTATGCACTGTGTGACCTACAGTGAAATACACACCTGTTACTGCGTAGTCACGCAAGGAAATAAAATAAACTTACACTTACGTATCTAAATTGTGTTTCCACACCGCGAAAAAAAAATAGCTTCATAACTATCTTTGTTGTATGATGAGAGTCAGAGAGTTCATAATTTTTCCTTTAGGTTTATACAGTTGTTTCTTAAATATCAGAAAAAAAACATCTTGTACCAACCTTCTACTTCTATGACAGTGTCCATGGCAGAGTATATTTTCATTGCAGCTGAAGTCCCAGTCAGCATTCAGTAACCTGTCGTAAAATGATACTGATTGTAACGTGTTTTGTCTCTAAAGACCCCGTTCGGATTGTTAATTGGTTTATTTAAAAACCTACAAATCGTAACTACAATTAATTATAACAGAGTTGCGGGAAGAGATAACCGTAAACCCGCTGTTTTCTTTTTCTTTCAGAATTTCTGCTGTCATTGGGTTTACTGTAGCTTTCCTCAAACCCTCCGGAGAGTAGTAGGGCCAAATTAAAGCAGAATCTTCAGACAGGCTGTGAATTATCTCCTGTTATTATTTCGAATCGTCATTCATAAGAATCCAAACATTATCTTAACAAAATATGGACGTAGGCTGTAACAACACAGAAACAAACTAACATATAATACGATGACAGTCATCAAGTTAAGTAAATCTATCTCATCTGTCATTTGGGTAGTACTCCTGCTTCGTACTCGGGAGATCCCGGTTTCAACTCTCGGTCAGGCTGCAAGCCATCCTGAGGCTTCATGTGGTTTTCTTCAGTCCCTCCAGGTAAATGCCCCAATACCTCGAATTAGGCCACGGTCACTCGCTTTCACGTACTTTTCAGTTCAGTATTCTATAGTTACCTTACCGCGCCATAGCTAAAGCGGTTAGTCGCTGGCTTCCCACCGCGGCGGCCCGGGTTCGATCCCGGGTCTGCTCAAGTGAGATTTGTGGTGGACAAAGTGGGGCTGGGGTAATAAAAAAGTAATACCATTTGACGTTATACAATCTGAACTACTGACATCGCTGTTAAACAAACCATAATAGAAATCAAGCACATTACTACCAAATTAAGACGTAGTAGAATGAAAAGACACGCACTACAATTAGACTTATCCATGACAAAAGGGACTATGTTCTCATTCATAAATATTGAAAGAGTTGCTGACCCCTTCACATACTTGTGTACTTCAAAAGCAGGAATCTAGAGGTTGTAATTTTATTGTAAAATGAGGTTTTATGCAGTCATAGAATTAATAATCGTGTAAAATAAAAATATTATTTAACCTATGAAAGAATAACAATATTGGGAAAGTGTAACCCGTACCAGAATACACAGATTTTTCACACTCGTTCTTTGCCCCTAGCGCGCGGAAGATCATGGCCCTACATAAGTTAACTGCGTAATGGACAGTTGTATTGTATTAGGGTATGACATGAAAGGAGCAAAAGAAGTCAGACTTTAACTAAAAGTCAATAAAGACTTCATTTGTCACGTTCTTTACATGATTGCAAGCAATAACACATGCAAGTGTTTTGTGTTTTAGAGGTCATGATTTATTGTCCAATACGAAAATATAAAAATGTAAATGTAAACATTCCTTTTCTTAATTATCTCGAAAGCTGTAAGAGGTACGAATTAAATGCATTGAGCATAAAATTTATCTGTCTTTATCTTCACAGCGATATTATATGTATGTTGTTTTGTTTTTTTTTTCAGAAATATTTAGGGAGGTACGTGCAGAAACGCATTAGGTCATATAAAGTTAAAAAAGGTGCGATTTACCGTAGATTAAAAATTGAATAGCTATCCAGTTTATCGTGAAATTATTCGGTGTTAACTTTTATGCAAACCGCCCGGCAGTTTACTTGAAACGTGCGGTGTGAAAGACTGATACCACCATCCCAATGGGCGTCCTTTTTATGCGTATCGTATAAAGAAAGTATAATAATACAAAAACTACAGTGAAAGCTGAAGTCACTTGCCAGACTGGACGGAAGTTTAATGAACTAGAAAACGTCGAGTTCATTCCTAAATGGCTCTTTACATGATCACACATACATGATCCTCGTGAACACAGGATTTCTTAACAAAAGAATAAATAATGTATTCTCATACCTTCAATTTTGTAAAGAAATGAACTCTTAATATTTCACATTTTCATATCCACATGCACACACATTTCAATCTGCAACTAATTGAAGGTTTGGTCTGTTAAAATGACAAACTGTATTTTGCTATGAAATAGACCGCCTCTGTGGTCTAATGGTCAGAGTTCCTAGCTACACATCTAGAGGTACGGGTTCGATTCCCGGCGCTATCAAAATTTTTCTGAGAAGTAGTGGGTCTGGAATGGGGCACACTCAGCCTCATGAGGATAATTGAGGAGCCATTTCAAGGAAATAGCGGATCAGTTCTAGAAAAGCGAAATTAACGGCCGTGGGGATTCGTTGCGCTGAGCACGCGACACTATCCGCTAAAGTTGGCACTAACTTTGCCGACAAGTGTATAAATATGAAATGTTTCTTAGGTGCTGGCCACGTGCTTAAGTTGACCGATTTGCGGAAAGTGGTGAGGAAGAAGCATGAATGGTCATAACATCGTGTTCTTTGATTTATTTATAAGCTTCTAACGTGCGAACGAATACTTTCGTTACAGAGGTAAAAGACTCAACAATGGATAAACCTTCTGATATCTTTCTGATTTGTTTTACAACAGTCTCAGTGTCTAGGCTACATAGCACCAAATGGTATAATGACTGATTAATTAAAAGAATGCTGAAGGAAGCAGTCTTGTCAAAATAGAGGTATTATCCAGGTATTTACCTGAAGGGACTGAGAAAAATTACGGACAACCTCAATGGGGATAGCAGATGTCCTGTCCGAGATTTGAACGGGGCATCTCCCGAATACAGGCATAGAACTGCACCGCTACACCAACCAGCTCTGTGCTCTGTGTCCACTACTCGTAATCTTCATCACTCAATTCTGATGTTTAAAATTCACAATAAACGCACAGTATCCTAGTCATGGTTACAACTAAATTAAAACTCAACTTCACAAGAAAATGACTGTTTACACGAGCGAAAATTGTTTATTCATGTAACTACAAATAATGAGATCTGCATACAGCTGATGAACTTTGTCATGATGAGAAACGAAAAAAAAAATGCGGAGAACCTATATTATCTTATGATTTCGTAAGAAATGTGATATATAAGCATTGAACCAAAACTAGTTCATGTTGATTTAACACTGAAGGACTCTTTCGCAATAACTATAAAATAATTTAAATTGTTCAATAATTGTAATCATTCAGATATGATGGGATAAATAAAGCAATACCTTTAAGCGTTCTTTGCGACAAATAAACAATGAAAAACCTCTCATTAATACTCAGTGTCTGTTGCAACTTTAAAATTTAAGATACCTTCCCCGCTCGCCTATTTTATTGTACTCGAGACTCGCATCATCGAACGTAGGCCAAGAAGACGTAAGGAGAAGTGAATGTATAGATACACGTATTCTTGACCTCGGCACTCGTTGGAGGTGAGTGCTCAGCTTCACGCCCCGGTCGCTTTTCCCTTGGTATCCATGGAATAGGAGACTGGGTGGGCCCCAGAATCTGTCTGGACGACGCGAAGAGAAAAATCTTAGAGTTAGTAGAGAGTCCGTTGAGTGTAACAATTTGTAGGTCACTTTTTTAATATCACTTCTGCCTTACATGTTTCGGTTTGATACAACCATCATCAGAGGCACTTGCTATAACTATGGAAACACTGTCGTTGTTTATGATGTTCACAGTTATGTTTGTCGTGTAGACGCTGCTACAATATGCTGACGTGTAAAAGCACAAAACTGTGGCAGTACACAACACACAGCACATAAGAAACATCGAACCATAAGCCATACAACTTCAAGCTGACGTCTCCCATCTTTGGGATGAACTAACAAGGAGGAATTCAGCATTTTAGATGAAATATTTTAACATTTAGCGTTTTAACTTAAAACAGTTTCGGATGAAAATTGAGAACTTGATAGTGTACTCAACTATCTTAGTAAGTTTTGTGCTTTTACACGTCAGCATTTTGTAGCAGCGTCTACACGACAAACATAACTGTGAACATCATAAACAACGACAGTGTTTCCATAGTTATAGCAAGTGCCTCTGATGATGGTTGTATCAAACCGAAACATGTAAGGCAGGTGATATTAAAAAAGTGACCTACAAATTGTTACACTCGACGGACTCTCTACTAACTCTGTGATTGATAGTGTAACGGACCAAAAATGAAACAATTAAAAAAAAAGAAAAATCTTACTCCTACCAGAACTCGAAAACAAACCCTCGGCCATCCACCACATAGCCAGTAGCTACACCCACTGCGTTATTCTTAATACATTTCCGTTCAGACGTTCTTAGATGGATTCCTATGGGACTCGTTCTGTCTGGGGAGAAAAAGAAAACTGGGCTCATCTAAACAGCAATATGATGGCTCCCTGGTATCACCGTCACTCATTAATTTCTAATCTGGGACAGGAGCAAGCAAAAATTAAATTACGACGTTCAGATCTTTTTAAAAATTAAATTGTTATATTTGACTTTTGAAGACATGGGTTGGTGAGTTTCGAAATTTGAAACGATTGGCATGAACAGTGTAGGCCCAACGGCCACGTTAATAAGTAATGTAGTTAGGTTTTCATTGCTTATAAATATTCTAATGGTTTTATTTATGTAAATTTGTATTTACCTTAATTTCTAATACGCTTTTTATAGACTATATTTTAAAAATTTTGATTTGGCTTCCTCTGCTGAACTAGTTACAATATTCCTACTAATACTTACTTACTTACTCATGGAGCTGAGCCCTTCTTGAAGAGCCGCCAATTCTGCAGCTACTCAAGAATTTTCCAGCATTTTATGGAACCCGAAAGTTCTTTACCATGTTCACAAGAGCCCTCCACTTGTTCCTATTCTGAGCCAGATCAATCCAATCCATACCATTTCATTCTCTCTAAGGTCCATTTTAATACTGTCCACCCACCTATGCCTTGGCCTTCCCAGTGCGCTCTTTTATTCCTGCTTTCCCACTAATATCCTATATGCATTCCTCGTCTCCCCCATTCGTGCTACATGTCCTGCCCACCTCATCCTCCTTGATTTGATCATTCTAATTATACTTGGAGAAGAGTACAAGTTATGAAGCTCCTCATTATGCAGTTTTCTCCAGTCTCCTGTCACTTCATCTCTCTTCGGTCCACATATTCTCCTCAACACCCTGTTCTCAAACACCCTCAGTCTATGTTCCTCCCTTAATGTCAGAGACAAAGTTTCACACCCATACAGAACCACAGGCAAAATTATAGTTTTGTATATTCTAATTTGTATGTTTTTGGACAGCAGACGAGAAGTCAAAAGGTTCTGGACTGAATGGTAGCAAGCATTACCTGAGTCCAATCTCCTATTAATTTCCTCGTGAATCAAGTTTTGATTTGTGGCAAAGCTTTTTTATGCTAATCAAATCCTAGGTTCTTCAAATAAATGAACTTTTAACTGAGGACTTTGCATGGCCTGTCTCTCTCAGATCGAAATAATTAGGAAAAAAAAGAAAAATTTTAGATGATGGTTTCATGTCAATAAACTTAAAGAGATGACACGAAGAATGAAATTGTTATATTTGTTGTATCTGATCTAGAGAAAAAAACTACAAGTTCATATTGTACAGTAAACACATATCTTATATGATTAGCAATAGCACATGTTCTGAACCAAAAATTGTGTGTCCCCAGTTTGCAAGATACATAATATTTTGAGTTGATCCTGGTCATGGGTATTTCAATAATGTGGAATCAGGCTGTCTTGTCATTTGTTTGAAATGGACCCAACAGTAAGATGAACATGAACAATGAACCACTGTTAAAGTCGAAATCAGTAACAGTCTATCTCTCACGTGTAAATAATATAAATATATCATACTGCTTATTTGTACATACATTTATTAACAGTACTATATTATAGATATTAATAAACAGACAAAAATAAGTACATACACAAATATCTTTGAACTTTCTTTTAAAAATGTGGTTACAATATCTGGATTTGTACTCAAATTTATTTTGTATGTGTATAAATAAACAAGGATAAAACCTTTAACCAGTACATGTCACAACCAAAAAAAAAAGAGCCACATGAAATCTTCTTTTTGATATCTTGCATATATCACTACCAGAGGCATACTACAAGTCCTTACCACAATAATTCATTTTCAGAATTACAATGTAATATAAAAACTGAAACCAGCTTCTTGAAAATTGCTTTCAAATATGGGAAAAAAGGGTCAGCTTCAGATTATAAATAAACATTATGTTTATGCTTTTTTATTTTTATTATTATTCTTTATTTTTCTGATTATGACTGCAGGCTGATGGTCAATTGAAAACACAAGGGCAAAGTAATACAACACTTAGCATCCCACAAGCAAATTTGGCTAACACTTACCTTTAGTTTTGGTCCATCTTTACTTCTCTGCATTGTATGTTTTTAAGCTGCACCACATAGTAAATATTTATAAATATCACATCCTATGCTCTCACTGCCTTCCCATCTCCATTAAGCAGCCTTGAAGAAGTGTTATTGTTACTTTTAATTAGTTTTACTTTATTAGCACATGTTTTTTTTTTCATTTACTGGTTGATAATTAATTTTCTTATGTTACCCATAAGATATGTACAGTACTGTAAAATGTGGTGAAGATACTACACTATAAGCTTTTGAACCAGGACAGTCAGTATTATTTCACTGATTCTCATTACTGATTTGTTTCATTTTTGTCAGTCAGTCTGTCAATAAATACAAATTTATTTCAGCTTCTGGGTTGAGAAGATGAAATTTGATCTCATTTCTTTTATAAATAATATTCCTACAATATAGTAAATTATTGGTACTGAGATTTTGCTCCTGGTTTTGTTTATTAAAATATATTAACTCTCAGACTTGAGATGTTAACTCCACTCATAAACTTGGATTTGAATTAAACACTCCAAACCAAAGTTTGTTACTAAAAGATCTAGAAATTACTTTAGCTGTTGATAAAACCCCAAATCAAATATGAAAGATCTACATTCCACTTATTGCTCTTCTCAGCAAAAGCTAGTGTCAATTAAAGTGTCAATTAAAAGCAGTTCTTGCTGATTTCTGTTGTTAGAAAAAATATCCACATCTACTGTACAAATTTATTTAGCATACTGGTATAAGATACTTGACAAAATTATAAAAGATAAAACAACTCCGTCGAGTGTGACTGTTGAAGTTTTTATTCCTTCAATTCTTATTGCCCTTACATGTCGTAAAAACAACACAGTGTGCCACAAACAAACACAGGACGATATCAAAGAACCTTCTTCTCAAGAAAGACAGGCGGCACAAGTTCAGCCCCCATCAAGAAAGGCAATAAGAGAAAGGATATGAACCTATTTCATTTATAAATTCTAACTTAAATAACAAAAGTTTTAAAATTTTTAATATACCAAGACAGCTGCTGTAGTTGTGGAAACTTTGGATTTTGTATCTATTGTGCATTACAAACATTGTATGTGTATATATTTTAGCATTCAGAACACCCATTGTAATAGTGTTTTCCAAAGAGTATCGATGTCCCTCTCATGATGGTCTATAGGGACCGAAACATGGAAGGGCATTAAGAATTGAAGTAATAAAAACTTCAACAGTCACACTCGATGGAGCTGTTTTATCTTTTATAATATTGTTAGTCTGATGGACCAGAATGAAACAAATGAAATACTTGACAAAATTGTTATGAATCAGGCTCATTAATTTTCCATTAGTTTTATTATTATTTTAATTTACAAAATTCCCTACATACCAAATTCATCTTGAAAAGAAACTGAAATCAAGAAATAAAGTTTTAACTAACATAGATGTGGTAAAAACTAGCTTATACTGAAGAGATCAGTAAATATTAGGTCTTCAACATCTTTTAGTATGCTTATGACTTAATGGCTGTGAATCAATGTTACTAGCAATTCTTTCACTTCCAAATTGAGACAGAAATTGTATTCACAGAACTGTGAGATTATGAATCCCACAGCTAAGTATGTTCCACTTCCAGGGGTGGAAATGGCTTTTCAGAACTAAGCAGACATTCCAAATTATTGAAGAAAAACCTGGAGAATGACCAAAGCATACTATAAAAAAATTATTACAATGCAAGATCAGGAATTTATTCCTACATGTATGACTACTGGGAATAAAATTTAGTGTATCTGAAGGCATTTTAAATAGCTTCATGAAAAAGACACTCTGCAACTAAGGAGATGATGTCCACCCATGCCTACATCCATTTCCATCCCTGTCCATGTCCCCACGTCTAACAGTCAACACTGTTGATAATCCTACCCTTGAAGAAAGCAGTCTTTTGGGATTTAGCACCGTGTATATGTGGTATACACGGTGCCAAATCCCAAAAGACTGCTTTCTTCATAGTCACCACCGTGAAAGCCTTAAATCTTACAATCCTACCCTTGTTTATCAGACATTTTTCCTCTATGTACTTCATATAATATAAACAATACCTATATAGATAAGGTTATTTCCTTTTCTAAACATAAAATTCTCTTCATTTCCATTTAGAATTTTCCTTAGATTTCCTAGGATTAGATCTGAATTATTCTTAAAATGTGTCAAAGAAATGTACTATTTAACTTATTGAAAATATTCAGAAATATTCTTCTGTTACTGCTTTATTTCCTCTAAACCACGTCATTGCAACATAAGATTTACCAGTGAGTATCAATATTGTGGTATGCTGAAATGTAATGTCATACATTTTGTACCCATCTACCGAAATATAAAGTGTCACATCTCAGAAGTTCATAATTTAATAACATATGGTTGCAGATAACATGTGTAGCTACGTTTGCGAGTTTACAGCGGGACTCCAACTTTAGACAATAGATACCATTAAGTATAGAAGTTTAAGATTTTACAATAACAGTACACCAGATAAACTAATTCAGAACATTTATCCATGAACAGCAAATTACAAGCTGATTTACCCAAAACAAAAACAATAAGAAATGCTACCATATTCAAATAATAATTATAGGAATGTATAATACAGAAATAATTTATCAAGTATGGGGGTATATGATAATCGTAAAATGTAACATTAATAATATGCATTGTATTTGAATAAAATATGTTATCTTTTTTAACAAGTGGAACTTAACACTTGTCATCTTAAATATCTGAACTACCAGGTACCTATGAAATAAATATGGGTTTGAACTTCAAATTCTCCTTTGTTAAAAGTCAAGCAGAGGTTTGTTTCATTAAAGGAACTTAGAAACTCAGAAAAGTATTGTGTATTATGTACAATAAATATATTTTATTGTAACGACAATGGAAATGAAGCAAATTACATAAGAACAATTTTAAACACATTTTTGAATGGCCAAATAGAATTTGAACATGATGCGTGAAACACTTCATAACTCTATGAAAGAATGTGAAAACCACAGACTTTTCAAGCATCAGATACCAGGTGAAGGAGGGGGGGGAGATTACCTATATTTTAACCAGTTAAGTGTATGATTCGCATATTATCAAATGTAATGGTAAAGAGAATACCGAATTCACTGAAAAGCAGAATTTCAAGTAGAGTCAACAACTAAATACTTTCTTGAAACAGTAAAACTGTCACCCATAAAGTGGTAATTTGATATCTGTAAACAAATAATCCTTTGTAAGGAATATTAATTGCAGTCAATAAATATTGCTGCCAAAAATTAAATTAAAATAGAACTACTTCACTGATATACTCCTTCTGCATACATGTCAATCTCTAAGTCTTCTATTTGTCATTTGACTGCTTTAGATGTAATGATTCAAATTCACAACATGCATCCTTTGCTACTTCCTACACCCATAACTGATTGATTCATGTTCACACTAACTCTGTAAGCCTGACTGATTGGCTCCTGTCCTACTGTGTCCTTGTGTATCAACTAAAGCTATCATTAAGCGACATTACAAGACAGAAAATTTTTCTTAATATTTTTTTCCAATAATATTCCTGCAAAAATACTTGTATAGTAATAGACATAAGACAGGGACAACTGCTGAAGGAATGTCAATAGTAAATTCTTCCTCCTGGGTATGCCTTTAGCATCTTTTTATGAATGTTTATTGGTTCATCCCATTAAATATTCCTTGATTTCTTTATCTGCTTTTCAGATAGGTCTCACACTAAATGTTCAGTTTGATGACTGATCACAAATGAGATGTAAGCACATTTCCAGTTATATTCAGCAATGAATATAACATCACTGACAAGAAAATCTGCAAAGCTTTTATGAACTTTGAAGCTTGAAAATGTGCTTCCAAAGCACTAAATGCGTCAGCATGATTTTTATTCTGTACTAATCTTGTAAGTTGTTAATTATTAAATAAATAACCATATGATTACAAACCACATTCACAGTATTCCATTTTTCCCGTATTTTATAATGAACATGCCGTTCTGACAGGCAAGCAAGAAGCTTGCGCTCGAAGTAAATCTTTCAGAGAAAGTATTTCAGAACATCAGACATGAAACTTGCGAGAGATATCTTCATATGACTGAAGAAAAGAGTTCTGCACTTGAAATGTGATGGCTTTTAATAAATATATTTCTGCAGATTCGCTTGTTTTACTCCTTCCTGTAGTCAGGACATGTGAAAATAACCAGTGTCATGGTCTTAAATATGAGAATCTATATTCTATAACTATTATTTTCAGACTATCCAGCAAATAGAAATAATATAAGTATTTCCAAAAATCTGACCATATCACACAACTTATGTAATAATCATAACTACAAAATTTGTCTTGTGTGATGAGCTACTGTTCCACGCTTTAAAAAGGAAAGTAACTAAAAGAAAGGGTGTTCCAAATTATAATCTTCACAAATGCCACCCCATGAACTCCACAGGAAGCCGTATTTTGAGTATCAGTTTTATTCTGTCTTGTCCATATAAATGAAGGTGACCTGAAGAATAATTTTTAAATTTTCCAGTGCCAGTCAAAGGATAGTGTAGTTGGTATAGTGACCGGCTGCAGGCTGGACAACCAAGGGGTTGCAGTTGAGTCAAGAATTTTCTCTTCTCCATGTCATCAAGACCGGCTCTTGGGTCCACCCAAACCTCCTATCCAATGGGTACCGGTGGCTCTTTCCCTGGGGTAAAGTGGCCGAGGCATGAAGCTGACCACTCACCCCCAACCTAGTGACGAGGTCAAGAAAATGTGGATCTATACAACCACTCCCCCTACACCTTCATGTCTTAGTGCTTAATTAGTCAAGCAGAAGGACAACTTTACCTTTTTACCTATGCCAGTCAATGTATCAGTCCAGCCATTACTTATTTGTTAAAACTTTTGTCATAAATATATAAGAACGATTACAATATAGCATCGATAATTAATGATGTAATCTAAATATTTTCCACTGCCAGAATCAGTAGCTCCCAAACCTCTTCAGTTCACAGAGCACCTGGTCATCATGTTGCTCTCTACAGAACACCTTGAAAACCAAATTTTCTTTTACCCCATTATTTTAACTGGGAACAATACTAATAGCAGAAAGTATATTATATGATGGTCTACACATCTCAACAAATGGTGGTGGTGGTGGTGGTGGTGGTGGTGGTGGTGGTGGTGGTGGTGGTGGCGGTGGTGGCAGTGGCGGCGGCAGCGGTGACGATGATGACGATGACAACAATGATAAAAATCAGTATTAAGTCTCACCCAGTAGAGACAAAAATCATTATCATTTAAATCCTGTTCTTATCATTAAGAATAATAATGTTGTTGTCAACACAACAACCTATGAGTATATGAATATAATATTAATGTGTCAATATGTAGAACTGACCAGTCACTGCACATCTATAAATATGGAAGTAATCACCCATATCACTCCACATAATTACAACATCCATGACATAGATGTAAAAGTACACTGGTTATTTTTTTCAGATATGTAACGCCATTGAAACAATAATGTAGTCTGGCATGAGAGACGCATCAAGATCAACCAAACTACACTCTATTTTATTCTTTTTACCTAATTTTAATGTTCAATATTTAATTTTTAATTTTTAACTTTTACCTGTAACCTGTAACGTATTATAAGACAGTTATACTAAATTGAATGAAAATATTCAGTATTGCATTTACTAATTTACTAATATAGTTCCATGTTAGTCACATAATTCAATAATCATGATACATATTCATATAAGCCATCTAAAAGTGATCACATTGATCGAAACATGTACTGGTATGCATAATAAAGACAAATATTAACACATTAATATTAGTTTCACTTACTCAGAAACAGAAAATAATTAAAATTGAGACCCTAATATTTGCACAAGAAATGTGTAAAATTGAGGAAATCCTGTCCATAAACTTTATTTATTTATTTATTTTAGAAACTGAAAAAAAGATCTGCATTACTCACTTTCAATAGCAGAAGATCTTGATCCATGCTGTGGAACACTGATGTTCCACCAAAGCATTGCCTGAGAACCGGTGGTTTAAATGTTCAGGGGCATGTATAATCCAAAATTTTTACCATTTTGGAAAAAAGGGCTGAACTGATATTGAGTTTTGATGCTGGATAAAATGTATGTCATAAAGCCCAGAGATAAGGATACATTAATCATTCTGAAGGATCTTCATAATTCGAATTATGTGTAATGACATACTTACATAGAGTATGAATGTCTATAGACTCCTAGTATGAAACATATCAGCTTTAGCTATGTGGCAGAACTGTGAACGCAGATCCTATATGCTCTTTGTCAGGAATGCTGAAGGCAGGCTACTCTTTCCAAATAGTCATGTGACAATGCACTTTAATACACTAACTCATGGTCCTATTAGCACCTAATGAAATTCTTGAGTTCATAACCCGACTACTGTTGTTACCGGGAATGTACAGTCATATAATTCATGCTCGTTGGCCAGTTACAACATCCCGATCAATGTACACGTTCCCATGTTCACCTTCTTCTTCTTCTGTTTGCCGTTTGCGTGCTGGAAGATAAAATAAATACATTTTACTGAATGAGAATCATTGTAATTGGTACACAGTTTCTTTAGTTAACAGTCTCCCATAATGGGGTTCTATCCATAGTATTTATATGGATGCTTCAGCACAGTGAACTGAATTTGAGAAAACTTTCGTAACAATCGAATCCTCGGTTTTTAACTTTGGGGCCTCGTCTTTGTTATGGCGCCCGGATGGGTATGCAGCAAGAAAGTTATTTTTTTGTACAATACAATCAACAATTTTAGTACGACAACCGTGGTCCAAAATATATGCATTATATTTTACCAGATCTTTGCGTCTCTTGATAGAGGTCATTTTCGTGTACACGTATAATGGCATGGTTGTGTTTTTGTTGCTTGGGATGGTTCACAAGGGAATGTCTGCTGTCATGATGTTCGAAACATTTGAATTGCGACGTTCTGCCAGCATACAAAAGTAGGAAGAATGTTGTTGACAAAGGAATTACGCACTTCGTAACTTTTTACGTTGTTTAACAACCGTGCGCTTCCGCTGAGAGAGAACTATAGGTTTAAAGAACTCGTCTAAGCGAAAAAGCTATGCAGATAAGAAGTAAGAGCTCTATAGTATTCAAATGAGCAGACTTGTTCGGAAGACAATACTTTATTTGAAGGTCAATGGACAGGGGACCTTTGAAAATAATTCGTACCTTGTTAGCGGGTCCATTTCGCCCCTCTGCTCTGCCCTTTCGGTAAAACGTAAATTTGTCCTTGTGCTTAAATAAGTAAGCACTACGCTATGAAGTCATATGGGGGAGTGGATGTATAGACCCACGTTTTCTTGACCTCGGCACTAGTAGGTGAGTGGTCAGCTTCAAACTTCGGCCGCTTTACCCCCGGGGAAAGAGCCCCTGGTACCCAGTCGATAGGAGGCTGGGTGGACCGCAGAGCCGGTCGGGACGTTTTAAAGAAAAGAAAATTCTTGACCCTACCGGAACTCGAACTCCGACCTCTCAGTCGTCCAGCCCGTAGCCAGTCGCTATACCGACTGCACTAGATAAATAGATAGTGAAGATTGTTGTAGTTTGGGACGTGATTCCTTGTAGTCTGGTAAATGTTTATTGACCTAATATCCCAGAAGAGAGTAAGCCTCACTATCAACCCATATTTTCCATAAAATAAAACGACAAACCGTTACTAAATTTGCATATTTGTAGAACTTAATTCACCTGTAGGGCCGCGCCATAGCTCAAGCGGTTAGTCGCTGGCTTCCTACCGCGGCGGCCCGGGTTAGATCCCGGGTCTGGTCAAGTGGGATTTGTGGTGGACAAAGTGGCGCTGGGGCAGGTTTTCTCCGAGTACTTCGGTTTCCCCTGCCAATCTTCATTCCACCAGTTGCTCCACAATCACCCTCACCTATCATCTGGGGCTGGTACAATAGGCCAGAAGTGGCCGCAGTACAAGGGACTTAGTCCCACCCCACTAGCAATTAAAAAACTCACAAGAAACACATTACGTTTCCGCAACAAAGACTCGCCAGTTAATGTTGTTTATGGAAACAAACCCTGTTATTTGTAGAAACCATAAGAAACACATAAATACATCCTACGGGAAGAATGCTGAGTCGCTAAATCCGAGACCCACGTGAAGTTATTTGTCGCGTGACACACCCAACACGTGACAGTATGTTAAAGCAGGTATTAGAAATAGAACCACTGAGAGTTAAAATGGTGATCACATTAACAGTACTAAGTTAAACATGTGAATTATTAACCTCACGTGTCATGTTAACACAGAACGTGGAAAATAAATACAATTCGCACTGCTATGTCTTCACTTCTTTCCCCTTCTCTTCCTGTCAGTGTTTCACCATCATATCCCGTCGTATTCTGTTACAGGTACAAATCAAAGGTACATCTCTCTGCCACGTACCCAGAAGTTGTTCCAGATAGACGCACTGACTGGAGTCGCTGCAGCAGTCTGCTTGTACAGAACCAGCGCCTCTCTCTTCAGGATGGGCTACCGGCAGCAAAAGGTTCAGTCGTGTCGACAATTCTCCGACATCTGCAAAAAGAACATTGCTTCGTTAAGGTCCGTATTACGTAACCTTACCACAGGTGAACTTAAAGACTGATATAGTTTATTATGACGGTCGTTAAGACCGCCTTTGTAGTCTAGTGGTCAGAGTTCCTGGCTATAGATTCCGATGTCCCTGGTTCGATTTCCGGCCCTACCAGATTTTCTGAGAAGTAGTGAGTCTCCAACGGGGTCCACTCAGCCTCGTGAGGATAACTGAGGAGCTACTTGAAAGGAAAAGTAGCGGCTCCGGTCTAGCAAACCGAGATTAATGGTCGTGGGGATCCGTTGTGCTGACCACGCGACACCCTCTACCCGCAAACGTTGGCACTAACTTCGCCGACAAGCGGCGGTCGCTCTGTCTTTATAGTTTTCTTGCGGACTAAAAGCCACGGAGTTTTCTTTTACCTAGTAGCCCCAGCATACCACCAAAGCTTGATGAATATAAAAATATATTTTATTTTCTATATGATGCATTGTGTAGCTTGTACACCTTAACATTGAGCGTAAAATGTCTTCTAAGGCGTCATACCTTGACCAGGAACGTTTCCACGGAATCTCGGCTAGGGCAATGCTTCTCGTCTTACGCTAGAAACAGAATTTTGCGGTTTTCTAGTGACAATATAGCGATCTACGTCATCATAATACGTTGACAATCAAGTATATTTTAAAAACAGTTCAACTTAATACGAGCCAAGCCACGGGAATTCATAAGTTCACCGCTCGACACTAAATCCTAAATACACGTATGTGCTTTGGCGCATGCGTCGCAGTGAAAATGGCAAAGGGAAAGTACGTTTTTATTAGTACAGCGAACCTCATATCTCCAAAGGAGGTCACTGAGCTAAATTCAAGGACATTTCCCGTCCAACAGTAGTCTCTAACGCCTTTGATAGATGGGGGAAGCATTATAGATAGCACCAAGCCAGTAGAGGCCGAACTCGCTGGCTCGGTCGGGACTGATGGTACGCACCAATAACGGTAGGGTATAGAGACTGGTAGAATATCATAGAGGGAAGCACAATGGACCAATAGTGGTCTCAGTGCATGGGGAAACCCACCCTCTCCAATAACTAACTATAACTGTTAGTACAGCGAGGTCGTGCGGATTCATTGACACATAACCTAACTTCTGGACCGGGGTTCTACACTGCGCCGGGTCCTGAATTCTTGAAAAATAAAGAACTACACCTTTCTTGACACGTACATCGATGTTCTGAAGTAAAGATGTCCTTCACATAGCGTACCACATATGGCTGCATTCCGCCACTCCGTGTTGCCTTCTCATCCTCCATTCATGAAATACAACACACGAGGAGGCCCATTGCAGTGTCCCTCTCGCAACAGTAACTATGCGACAACTTTCACTCCAATCAATATACGTGTATTCTGAGGCACGTTTTCCCATTCTTCTCATACAAAAGACTTGTTACGTATGTCAAACTGAGTTATGTCCTCATGTAAAAGTACGTAGATTCTAAAGGGTCCTGACGATGGTGGATGACACACAGAATTACTGGGTTTGTGGACTTTTTCCACCGTCAGGAATTCTAGGTAATAAGAGGACACGACGTTTCGAAAACTGGATCTGTTTCCGTCTTCAGGTGAGAAAGGAAGACACTTATTCAGTTAGGCCCCTTAGAAAGAGCTAATCCCAATCGCTGTATTAGCTCTTTCTAAAGGGCCCAAATGAATAGGCGTCTTCCTTTCTCACCTGAAGATGGAAACAGTCCAGTTTTCGAAACTCCGTGTCCTCTACTAGCTAGAATTCCGGATGGGAAAAGTCCAAAAAATTAGTAATTCTGTGAGTTCTATATTCTCATGTAAAGTATGGAAGTAGCTGTTGTCTTAACAGAAGTTTATTTATAAAATAAAAACAAAGGAAATGACCGTCCTGTTGGACATGGTTGCACACACGAATCACGTTAGGACGTTGAACACGGAAGTGCACCCTGCAGCATGAAAGTGGAAGGATATTAACCTCGACGTTCAAAAGGAAAGGACACTACTGAAACTTTCATCTTTTGCTAGGCCTTCGCAAGCCCCTCTGCCCTCGCGATCGTACATTCCGCAGCTGTCTCTCGGTACATAATCAGCTTGCACCGTTTCTAACGGTACTACCCACTTTCGTGGGCCATGCCGTCTTCCCCAGGTTGTTCCGTTACATTTCAGGGGGCTCTTAGGAAGGATCTTCGCCCATATTTCAATGGTCCCAGCTTAGTTACTAATCACTTCCCAGGGCCGCGCCATAGCTCAAGCGGTTAGTCGCTAGCTTCCCACCGCGGCGGCCCGGGTTCGATCCCGGGTCTGGTCAAGTGGCATTTGTGGTGGACAAAGTGGCGCTGGAGCAGGTTTTCTCCGAGAACTTCGGTTTCCCCTTCCAATCTTCATTCCACCAATTCTCCACAATCACCCTCACCTATCATCTGGGCTGGTACAATAGGCCAGAAGTGGCCGCAGTACAAGGGACTTAGTCTCACCCCACTAGCAATAAGAAATCACTTCCCAGTGTAACTATCCGTATTTATCAGAAATATTTTGGTCATATAGATGGGGAGGACAAAGAAATGCGTGCAGAAATGTTAAGAAGGGAAAACTCTTGGAAAATAAATATTCTAAAGACCAAAAAATAGATAGGATAATATTAAACAAAGGTCTTGATGACCGAAAATTTGAGAATGTGAAGTGGGTTGAACTGTCTTAGCATCATATCCAATGAAAATATTCATTATTGCCAATTCTGGATCTTCAAATTACATTGTCAGAAAGTCGACTCCTCCGTCATACATCCCTAAAAGACAACCTGTCGGAGTGTGAAAACTAATTTACACAATCCTTGGTTTTACTGAAGCACATTTTTTATGATGTACTCTAACATAAAATACGTCTTGAAGGTTTTCACGGTGGTGATGTCTCAGATCATGGTTCTCTGATTTATTACACCGCTTAGTGTTACTGATGAATGTCATTGTTTCGGAGGAATACGCTGCATCCATTTTCAGGGATAAAGTCAGTCTGTCTCCCCTCTCCCTGGATTTGAGTGGCCACCTTACTATCTGCCTGTATAGCCTAATCGCATCCTGACCATAATCTGACCCTGAAGATGGAGGCAGCATATTCGTCTGAAACGTTGATATGTAACTACAAGATTATACGGTGTCACAATCTAGAATAAATTCATAATCTAAATGACAGATTGTATTGTATTTCTGTCCTTATAAATTAATGCCTACTTAGATCCACTACCAACCATCTAAACGCAAGACGGCCCTATTCATATTGCTACGGAAGTAATTTAAACTTATGTCAACATCAGATCTTGTTAATGGTATCTTAGGTCATGCTTGTATGTTGAAAGTTTTCCGCTTTGTTTTATATGGATCATAACACTCAGCATTTCATAAATTACTGCCTGATGCTAAGAGCCGGAATAGCGCAGTCTGTATAGCGACTGGCTACGGCTGGACGACCGAGGTGTCGGAGTTCGAGTCTCGGTAGGGTCAAGAATTTTCTCTTCCCCAAGTCGTCCAGATGGGCTTTCGGGTCCAGCCAACCTCCTATCCAGTGGGTACCGGGGGCAAAGTGACCGATGCGCGAAGCTGTCCGCTCACCTCCAGCTAGTGCCGAAATCCACTTCCCCTTAATCCTTCATGACCTAGCGTTTAATTGGTTAAGCACAGAGACAACTTTACCTTTTTTCCATTACTACTTGATGGTAATAAGGAAGCATCTGTCCCTAGACTGTTGAATCTGAAGACAAGAAGCGCTCCTTTCCGGGTATCCATTTTAATGCACAATTTACACATTATCCCTCGTCCTAATTTTACTTATGGCGGCGTTTAAGAGACCAGACTGTCTCCGTCCTCATATAAAACCCCTACTTTCATGGGCCCAATCGACAGAGCTAGTCCATATCCGGTCCGGAGATAGGGGCTAATTCTATCGTCTGGACCAAACAGAATAATATTTTTTACCTGATGAAGGAGACAACAGTCCAGTCTCCGAAACGTCATCTTAAGTAAAATTAGGGTGACGGATGTGTAAGAAATTAAGTATTGTATTAATATACTACGGGCACGAATTCCCCGATCTGATGCAATCTACAAGCTTAATGTTTCTCGTTTAACAAAGGATTTCGGAGTGCAAACTTTTCTAAGTGTGCTATAAGCCGGATCAATTTAAGCTCAGCTATGACCTTAATAACACTAGGCCAAGTTCCCCCTCCCATAATTGTGTGAGGTCATCTCTCTGATGACTGTTCTGTATAAGCTTCCAGTTCGTATTTGTTCTTGCAGCAGGGGACTCTAGAAGAACACAAACTGAGGCGCTGGAGAAGTGGGCAACGAGAGAAGACTCCGGATCTAAGAGAAAGGGAGGAACAGGAGGACGGGCAAAACTGCATAATGAGAAACTTCATAATCTGTAGCCTGTTCCCTACAAAACATTATCAAGTTGATCTAGTCAAGGAGGACAAGAGGGTCGGGGAAATAGAGAAAACAATATAAAAATTTAATTTGAAATTCTGAAGGGAAGAGGACATTTGGAAAACCAAGGCGTAGATAGGAGGGTAATATTAATATGGATCTATTATAAGTTTCGAGGTTTTGGACTCAATCTGACTCAGATACGATCCTCTGGTGGGCAGTTGTGAACACGATAATTAACTTTCGGGTTCCGTAAGGACAAAGAATTTCCTGACTAGCTGAGAGACTAAGAGCGTCTCAAGAAGTGCCACACTTAATTTAGAAAATTAATTAGTTGTTTAAATAGGTACTCTTATTTGAATGGAGCCGGGATAGCGTAGCTGGTAAAGAGACTGGCTACTGGCTGGACGACTGAGAGGTTGGAGTTCGAGTCATGATAGGGTCACGAATTTTCTCTTCTCCACATCGTCCTGACCCAGCCTCCTATCTATTGGGTACCGGGGGCTCTTTCTCCGCGCTAAAGCGGCCGGGGCATGAAGCTGACCCCTCAACTTCAACTACTGC